TAAAGCTTGATATTAGATTTATATAAGGTGTAGTTGGCGGTATAAAACTAGTATCCTTTATCAAATATGGTAATATAAATCCGATATAAAATTTATTTGTGAAAAATATTAACTTAGTTTCCAAATATAAAGAATCTCTAAATTTGGAGAAAACCAAATTTGAACTAATTTTCTATTTTACACTAAAAAAGAAATCCTTGATATTTATATTATTATTTTTATTTTTTTCTTTCATTAAAATAAATCCTTTTTTTTTTTTCAAATACCACCCTATATAATTCTTATCCTTTTCAAAATCTTTATGTAAAATTTTAACAATTTCATCTTGTATCCAAGTGTTTTGTGTATTAATTTTAAATTTAGATTGTTTGACTAACGTTAAATTTTGTTCATTCTTCATAGTAAAAATAATTATAATTTTAAATTAAATATTTAGAGTGACGAATATTTAAAAAATAAAAAATAAATAAAAAAATTGTTAATCCGGAATGAAAATAGTATACTTTTCAATAATAGATTTAGATGTTTTTTTATTTAATTACTCGATTTTATAACATTTCATTTTTGTGATGGTTATTTTTACAATAAAATTATAAATTATAATAAAAACTACATAAATTATATCTTAAATAATTTTTTTACTTGAATTATTTAAAAATAAAAAATAAATTAAATATAATACATTATAAAATAATTACAAAAATTAGAGACTTAATCAATGGTCTTATATCTTTTATAATATGTTAATTACAATATTATATAATATAAATAATATTAAAAAATTTAAAAGTGAAATAAAGCGTATAAATAGCATTTCTCCAATTTTAGAGTACACCTCTCTACAAACTAGGATTTAAAGAGTTTTTTAGAGGGTAGTTGGAGTACCTAATCTATATTTTTTTCCTCCATTTATAAAGTTTATAGAGTAAAATAAAAAGGGTTGGAGATGGTCTTGTCCCACCTAATATGAGATTATTTTATCCTATCTTTCATATTAGATAAATTATTCCATGCATTATATTTCATGACTTTAAATTCTCATATAATTTAGTTCGCATATGAAATGACTCCTAGAAGTTTCCAAAATTTAATATTTTTGTAATGTTACCAAAATAACTAATGGTAGCCGTGAAATAGGAATTCTAAGCTTGCATTTGTACAACAACATGAAATTCAGATTCAAATTACCGTTTGAAAATATGATATGGGATCCTTGATTTCAAATTCTCAAATAAATAAATAAATTTGGATTTCAAATTTAAACTTGTGATCTCTTGATCACAAATAGCAATTTTACAGTTAAGTAAACAATCATTACCCTGACATAAAACTTTAACTTTATATTAATCATGATTTTATATTGCATATCTGATGTCCAAACGAATCCTACGAAAGCCGTCAAAGAAAAACAAAAAGAATAAAGTATTTTTGCGGGATTGTCTATTTATACAACACCATTTTGAATCGTAGTTGGTTTATTAAATCTTCTTTGCTACAAGTTGTGTTTTAACGTCATTGCCCAAGTAATATCTCATTGAGAGAGAAAGAAAAAGAAATGTATGTCTAATATCAACCGAGTTCAATCAAATATATTTAGAGCTTAATAAAAAAATATTAAAGTATAATCTAATATATATGACCCGAATTTCATGAAAAAACAATTAAAATTCAGAAATATACAACTGAACTCAATGCAAAAATGACTAAATTTATTTAAAATTGCTTATGACAAGTCAAATTTTAGATGCTTATAATTTTAAAAAATTAAACTTGCTAAAATAAATTAGAAACTCCGGCTATGGTTTAAACGGGGGCCTTGAGATTGGGCTGATCACATTTTTATTGGGCCCCCAACTAAAAGAGAAATGGGCCCAATATGAAACAAGCCTCCAACTAGTCGTAAAGGAGGTATACCCGGAAAACACGACACGCAGCACAGAGAAACAAGGGTTTAATTTTTATGTTTCTAAATTTTCTAGATTGAAAGTCGTGTCGAGATAAGTTTGATATCGTCAGGTAATGTAATAATATTCCTTTTCATTCGTTATCATGAAAATGGATTATGGGAATTTAATTTGCTGAAATATGGAGTATTAAATATGTGATCATAATGAAGAAACTAAAATCATCCTATCTAATTGGATTTTTGTTGGTTTTGCAGCTAGCTTGGGAGATGCATAGGATTATGATATTAATGAAATTTCTCAACCGAATATTTCTGGTATACAAACTGAAGAAATATCTGCAAAACAGGATGAAGTAAAATCATCAGCTGATGTGGTTCCAAGAAAACGCGACAATTTCCTTAGTTTATTTACTCTTAGAGATATCAATGCTTGCATTCTGATTTCGGAGAATAAACAAGTAATTTGTTCTGTCATGATGTCGTTATTAGTTGTCCTGTCTTACGCCCATATACCACTTAGTATAGCGAGGTCAAATAGCTTTGTTGCCTCAAGGCCACTTTACATATTGTTGCTAACTGATTTTACAGTAGTGATTGCACGAATAGTTCGCCACATGACATGTTCAGGGATACCTGCCATGTCTTCTCCCATCAGCAACAACAGGTATCTCATGTAACTCTGTCCACCAAGGCTAGGCTAGGACATATGGAAAAAAATCGCCAAGTGTTGTTTGTCTTTCTGCACTGGAATTTGAACCTATGACTTCATGGTTCATTGACCACTAGGCCACACCCTTGGGTGCCCACGTGCGACTCTTCAATCAAAGCCTATCTTGCTATTTTTTTAAAGTAAAAGAACCTATTGTGTTATATACTATCGTTCAGACTCTTTAAAGTAAGAATACTAGCTAGTTCTTAGCTCTTGACAACTATGCGTGTTTGTTCTCAATCTCAAGGATCCAAAATTCAGTTGTAAAGTTTTGGGATCCTTTATATCCAACAAAGAAAGACATTATGCCTACCACCTAATCTATGTGAGCCAAGCTTAATACTATGGTCTATGCTGTTCTTACAAGCTTGCTTATCATTTTTGTTGCCTCTAAGAAGACGTGTACACTGCAAAATCAGCTACTAAAACTGGAGTATATCAGTAGGGCAGCTGCAATCTATTTCAGTTCTCGCCCATGAATCCTCCATCCATTAGGGATATCTGATATAATTTTTTATTGTTACACTTGCACACAATAATAACATCATACCCAGTAATAATCCCACAAGTGGGTCTGGGGAGGTTAAACAATTAATGGTGATTTCTCTAGAAACAAAAATTAAACTAGTAATTTACTAATGGAAATTGATCTCCTGTAAAGCTGAGCACAACCGTAACGTCAACCATAGTATATTATAGAAGAAGAAAGTTGTAACGCACCCTGAGGAATTCATTCTCAAGGCCAACAACTCTGTCAACAATTCATTTTGCCCAAGTTCCATTCTACTTCACTTTTAAGCAACTGTTTGAAAAGGGAATGTTGAATTCGATAACTTAATTAGCCCTCTTAGGTTATTTTTAACGTAAGAAATACAGAATAAGGCATGTGATGTGGGATAACTTTTGAATCTCTACTATAAAAGAGAAATAAATTATGAAATATTGAATGCATCTAGGAATATTGTAGAAAATAACAGGCTTGCTAAACCAAACTGAGCACAACCTAATGATGTAGAACGTGGAAGAGGCTATACATAAAACTTACCCTTCAACAAGCAACTCATATGTTTCCCCATTGACATCTTTTTTACCATCTTTTTGTTGTTCTTTGTTCACCACAGCCCTTTGAACTGTAGTAATACCCTGAAATCCCAAGAAGATTTACAAATGTAAGTCAACAGAGTAGTTCAGATAAAACTGATTAATCAATTCTCAACTGAAAACCCACAGATTAAATCAAATTCAAATCTTGATGATTGTCATACCTTCACAACAACAACAAGCAGCTTATTTTTCAGTCGGTGCAGTTCATCTTTTTTAGCCTGAGGGAAAACTTCCAGCTACCTGGGATTCAGAACTTTTACTTGCTGCAGAAAATAGGAATTTCACTCAACAAGATGTCATTGATTGATAAGAAGCAGAAACAGAAACACAACTTATCTTACATGTTCCTTCAATTTTATTTTTGAGGTCTCTTTATGACTTTCTACCAACTCAATCTTCTCCAACAACTTCTATCTCCGACAACTCCTTCCCATCTATGGAGCTCAGTGACATTAGGTTAGTACTATACATATCAGCTTAGCCAATAATATGCTATCAATTTGTGGAATTATTCTTGGACATGATATTAATGCTACGTCTTAATCTTCCCAGCCAAATATCAGCACAAGGAAAGGAAAAAATCAGAACTTTTATGATCATTGAAATGGTTTGAGGTGATGAATTTGGCTTCATCTTTACTTCATTAGCAACCATGCGGGGTATACTAGTCCCAATGGAGACCAGGACAGCAGAACCAGCTTTAGCTAAAAAGGCAAGGGACCTAAGGGAGGGGATAGTTGAAGGTCGTGCAGCTCCGCAAAGGCTTCTCACCATCACCAGGTAATTACAGAAGATCTTCAATTTCTTCAAGCTCGGGCAAAGGCATAGAGCCAAAAATATTAGGTACTAGGAAATCCATTTTTCCTTTAATACATGTTAAATGTTGGTCGTACATACAAGGGTTAAACAACATAGAAAGACAAGGCCTCGAAAAAATCAGAAAAAGATACTTATATACGAATGCTCGCTAAAGAAAATGCCGCATAACCTTTTTCATTCCCAGCTTTAGAATATCAAATACTTCAATTAACCAACATGTCAGATCATTTCTCAAAGTAAACTACAGATATTGAAATGTTCTCAACAAGCACTAACTAAATCTAAAAAAACTATAGTCCAACGGCTAATAATTCAGATACTTCAATTAACAAAGGGGTAAACTACAAATGATAAAATCTCAACCAAAAGCCAAGTTACATAATTTAAAACCATAATGATGAAATCTCAAATGGTCCAAATTATGTTACTTCTTCAAGTGCCTTTTCCTTTTCTCCCTGGCACGCCTCTCCTCGCAGCTTACGAAGACAAAGATCGCAATTTGCCAAACCAACAACTGCCTGTGAATTAGTTTAGAGAAAGAAATCAAAATTAAAGTTAGTTATCAAGTAAGTGCTTATTTATACAAAGAAAAATGTAATCCTAATTAGGTGTTCACCTCTCCCTTAGGCTGACAACAATAGATTGCTTTTCCACCACCATCGCGACACCTTTTACCAGCATGAATTTGGAAAGTCTCGATAGGAGTAACAAGAGTGAGATTTCTGACTTTCACAGTCATCCAATAATCAAAGTAATCTGTCACCGTAAAATTCACTTTCTCAATCTTCAAAACCTTGTACTTGAAAACCTGCAAGGAGAGTTACTAATTATCATTTAAAGAGGAAATCAAGCCGCAAAAAAAAAAAGTCAGGAGCATACATTGCACTCTCTCTCATTATATTCCTGAATGGCGCGGTTAGCCAGTTCCATCATTAACTCAACATCTTCATTGAAGTGATATACTGATACTCCAGCACCCAAAGACGAACCGGGATGGACATCAATATCAAAACACTGTAAAACAAGCCAACGGGGATGAAACTATACAAACTGAAAGAACAAGCCAAAGCCAACATGGATGAAACTATACAAACTGAAAAAACAAGCCAACAAGGATGAAACTATACAAACTGAAAGAACAAACCAACAAGGATGAAACTATACAAACTAAAAGAACAAGTCAACTTGGACGAAACTATACAAATTGAAAGAAAGAGGGGATCATAATGGAACATCAAATTTGAGCTCATAGAGGGGAATCAAAGGTTTAATGCCAAAGGGAACCAAAACAATTCATAGGTAGTAGGATCAACACTTTACCCTCCAATACATATATGAACATAATTAGTGAAATAGATTGGTTCAACTTTAATAAATTTGATATGACAACATGAAATTATTATTGCACCTAAGAGATTGATTAGCAAGGAACTTGATACATACAAAATTAGTTAGTGATAAGTACAAAATTAGTTAGCAATTACTAGAAGATATATGAAGCTACACAAGAAACATAAATCAAATCAATAAATAAAAGGAGAATAGAAAGGAAACAAACATGGGTTTGACGAAGTTGACTGATGTAATGGAGCCAAATAGGGACATAATGATCGGTATACTCCTCCACAGCACCCATGGGAGTATCAAAAGTGAGTTTATCGAATCCAGGGCATGGGTGTGAAGAACAATTGCAATAGGGGTCTAAAGGCATCCCTTTGATGCACTTTCCTTGTTCAAATTGCCTCTTTTCCGGTGGCACAATTACATGTTCTTCTTCTCCTTTTACTTGTGCTAGTTCTTCTAGAGAACGAAGAATGTATGCTTCCCACTTGTCTTGTTGCACATCCTCACTTCCTTGTTCACTTCTTTCTTGCTTAGCCTTGTCGAATTGTAAGGCAATACATTCCAGACTAGGTTCTTCAATTTTTTCTGGTTCTGGAAGGTCTAGAAACACTTCTGGATGATTTAGAAGTGCTTTTGATAGCATCCAATTCGATTGATCCACAGAAAGGTCTACTTCCATCGATTCTATTGTATGATCCTTAGAAAGGTCCATTGATTCCGACATCTTTCTCAATAGCAAATTGGGGATTTATCTCACCCTAAACCCTAACCCTTTCTCCTTTGATAGTAGTAAAGGAAGTCCAGCGCTGCTGCCCGGGCCAAACAAGAATAAAGTTATATTATCTATCTATATATAATATCTATCTTCTATCTATATATAATAAGGAGAAAAAAATAGCATATGTGTTATCATTACAATTAATCTTGAAATTTCAGTATTTAAAAAATCAAATTTAAAAAAGAAATATGATCTTTTTTTGAAAAAAAACACATGTAAGTTTTTTTACGGTTAGAATGAGATATAATTTTAAAATTCAAAAACACAATTGCATCATGTTAAGGAGGATAAATAGGATGTTTCTCTAACAAACAAAAGGCAACAAGACTATCGGATTGTGATGAGACCAGCCCAAAAAAATCAGTATAGTTGATCTTTTTCTTCTTCTTTTTTCTTAAAGATAAGTTTTTTCTATTTCTTCTTTTTCTTTAGGTTTTCTTCTAAAATATGTTCTTCCTTAGATTAAAGATATGGAAAATCAATAATTTATATAATATTAATTTCATCGATATAATTTTTATGCAAGACAATGTCTAGAAATGCCTTAGGAAATGTTGCAAAAGAAATTTGCAAGGAAACAGAAAGGTTAAAGTCGTATTATTGAAACATGGTTCTTCTTTAATAGTATTTATTCTTATAAAGAGTTTCTACTATTTATTGATGTAAATTTGTTTCCGGATTTTAATTATATTATACAATTTCATGTTTATGATTGCTTAAAATTATGTATATGTGTAAACTATAACTACCATAAAATTTCGAATCCTATAAAAAGATTTTTAAAAACAGAAATATTTAAATTAAATTTCAAAATAGAAATGCTAATTTTTTGTGGTTTTCAAGTTTAAAATAAAAAATTTAAACTTTGAAAATATAAAAAATAAAAATAAAAAAAACACACGGAAGTTCTGCATCTAAAATTTAGTTTTTGAGCCTAATTTTGTGGAACTATCTAGCATTATCTAATTTTGTGGAACTATCAAGTATTATCCTTTGAAATATCTTAATTTAAATTAATCAATTATTAAAACTAATTACCTCAAAGCAGAATATGGAGAATCAACAGCACCAGGAGGAAAGCATGAAGATGATTGAAAATGAAATCTGCAAGGCAACATTTATAGAATCAGGGCAACAATGGCAAGAAAAGGATACAAGCACAAATAATATGGCACTGGTTGAATATCCAACTATTGTAGCACAGGAGAATGAAGTTATAGTGTCACCAATGAAAGTTCTACATGATATTGTTTCACACTCTATAGGTACATAACCTCAACTTCAACCAACAATCACAATGGCAGAACTGTGCTAGCAACACAGAGGAAGTTGATTCACATTCTATAGGTTTTGCACCACCTCAGGCTGAAACACAACAAGTACAACAACAGAGCAATTCTAGTTGCACAGACGAAGTTGATTCACATTCTTTAATGTTTTGCTCCACCTCAGGCTAAACCACAACAAAGTAGCTCTACCAATACAGTGGAAGGTTCTTATGATGAGGATGACAAAAATGAAGCAGAGACCCCTATTAAAAGTAACAAATCTGGCAGAAAAGGGAAGAATAATGGCACTTCTGTTGGGAACCTGCCAATTAGGACAAGGTCAAGAAGAGGTTTGCAGAAGATCAAGGATTAATAATGAGGTTCTTTTTTTGGAATATTACGTCTGTAAAAACTCAAAAGGCTTTTCATAGGGTACAAATGCTTAATAAAACGCATAAATTTATTTTTATTGCTTTAATGGAGCCTTTTCAAAATGCTAGAGTGATCAACAAATATAGGAGAAAATTGGGAATGCCTTTTGCAAGATCCAATTGTAATGGAAAAAATTGGGTTTTTGTCAAAGATGGTTTTCAGGTAGATATTGTAGTGGATGCTGCACAACATATCACTTTGAAGGTTGAGGATACTACTTCGAATAAAGCTTTTTTTGCAACTCTGATCTATGCAAAATGTGACAGTGGACAAAGAGTGGCTTTGTGGGAAGACATTTATCAGTTGTACAATTCTATGGTACTTCCATGGATTATAGGTGGGGACTTCAATGTGGTTTTGAATGCTGAAGAGAAGTTAGGAGGGCTTGATGTACAACCTGCAGATGTAGATGATTTTGCAAGCTGTATTGGAGATTGTGACTTCATAGAAGTGTCTTTCAGAGGTAGTCCTTTCACTTGGTGGAATGGTAGAGCTGCATCAGACTGTATTTTTGAAAGGCTTGACAGAGTGTTAATTAACCATGAGTTTCAAAATTGGTCCAACCATACAGAAGTTGAACATCTGTCTAGGACTGGGTCTGACCATGCTCCAGTGGTGCTAAATTGTGAAGAATCTGTGGTAAATATATGTAAACCATTTAAATTTTTGAACTTTTGGGTAGAACATGATACTTTCATGAAAGTGGTGAGTCAGAACTGGTCTGTTGCTACTCCTGATGTTGCTGATAATCCATTTTTTTGCTTCAAAGAGAAATTAAAGAAGCTAAAATCTGCACTCACTTCATGGAGCAAAGATGTCTATGGTGATATTTTCAAGCAATTGATAATTAGAGAGGATATTGTAAAAGTCAAGGAAAAGTTATTTGAAGAAGACCCTAGTAGTGTGAACAGAGAAGTTATGCAGAAAGCACAAGGAGAATTCAAAAAATATCTGCACTTTGAGGAAGAATATTGGAAACAAAGAGTAGTTGAACATGTTCTATCTCAAAGAGTAGTTGAACATGTTGGAATGCAAGTGAGCAACTTTATACCCTCTAATCTTTTTTTGAGATAAAGGTAACTGAACTTTATACCCTCTAATCTTTCGGATAGACCATGGTGGTTACTCAACAGTACAGGGAAGTTCAATGTTAGCTCTGCTTGGGAGTTACTAAGATACAAAAAGGAAGTGAACGTCCAATATAAGCCGGTTTGGGTGAATGATTTGCCTTTTAAATTTGGTTTTTTGTCTTGGAGGATTTGGGGTAACAAATTACCAGTGGCCACTACTATTGCTCGTTGGGATAGGTTTGTAAATCCTAATTGTGTTTGTTGTACAGTACCATTGCCTGAAACTGTACAACACCTTCTCCTATCTGGTGAGATGGCCAAAAAGGTATGATTATATTTTGCAAATGCAGCTGGAATTCAAGGTCCTTTCATTCAAATTAAACAAACTGTCATGAAGTGGAGAGATGCACAGGGAAATGACAAATTTAAAAGTGTCATGGTTGTTGTCCCTATCATAGTTCTCTGGTTCTTATGGAAAAGACAAAATATCATTCTTCATGGTGGTTTATATGCTTATGAGAAGATTATTTTTGATGCAAAAATACTATTCATAAGTTTATAAGATCCAAGTTTCCTTTTTTCCAGAATCTACCTAAGAGTTGGCCTCATATTGTCGAAGGTTTGGAAGGATGGCAACCCAGTTACAGTTATAGGATTGTGAGGTGGTTACATCCTCCTCTTGGATGGTATAAATGTAATATTGATGGTGCATCCAAAGGTAATCCTGGCCCAAGTTAAACTGCTTTTTGTGTGACGAACAGTGAAGGTGACATTTT